CATGTCCGGCGTCACGTGTGCGAGAGATCATAGCGCAGAAGTTGCCGCCGAAGCTGCCGAGCGCCATCGTCAGCATGCTACATCTCCTTGTTTGCGGTCTCGCCGTGCCGTATGGTGCCTCGGACATTTCATTTCGCTATCTACGCTGAAGGACGCCCGGGCCGTAACTTTCGGCCTTGCAGGACCAGCATGTAACCCTGTTCTCGGGACCAACAGGACCACCACGCCCTGGCTGCCTGCTCCGCAGAATCTCCTGATCCTCTGAGCCCACGCCCTTTACGATCCTCCGACTCTCTGCCAAACTGTGCCTTGCCGGCCGCCCGGTCCTCTCCTTTGCTCTGTGAGATACCTCTACCTCAAGCCTGCCTGTACCCCGCAGGACCCGTCCGGCCTCTCCCTGTGCCGCACGGCATCCGTAATGGCTGCCGCCGCCGCCCTGGAGGCGGCTCGACAGCCCGGCCTGCTGCAGCGCGAGAAACACGCGCACCTACGGTACCGGCCGCACCGACAGCTCAGCTCAGCTCAGCTACAACTCAGCTCCGACAGCTCCGCTCTCCTCGTTACTCAGCTGACGAGCTTGTGCTAACGGCGTCGTTGTGTCGCCTGATGAAAGATCGCATCGAACCGTAAAACAGTGCATTAATTTACGGAATGATGCAGCCAAGGTCGGCTAAACCGCATTCCAGGCGCCTGCGGTGAAACTTATCTGTCCCACGGAAGCACGCCGAGGGGGCCAAGCACAGGGCCCGGTGGCTAACTTTGTAGGTCTGCACCCAGGTGGGCCACATGCCCCGTTTACAGCCCAGTGGTCGCCCAGCTGAGGCTGACCGTTGGTGACCGTCACCGCCGCAGGGAGGCGCTCGACTGCGTGGCCGCGTGTGAGCGTCTGACTGCCCGACTGGGCGGCGGCGGCGCCGGCTGGCCGCACGGCACCGCCCTGCTCCTGTACCAGGTCGAGGCCAAGGTAACGAGGCCGGGCGCGTGTGGCGTGATGTTGGGCAGGCTCGCCGTCGCCGCCGACGCAAGAGCAGCTGCCCCACAGCTGGAGATGCTGGGTACCAGCCGCGGCGCCGCTCAGCTCTGGCTCAGGCTACTTCCCCTGCAGCAATGTGTGCTGCACTTCTGCTGTTCCCAGCACGCTTTGTAAAGGGCTGTCGTGCGGTTGACTTTGTATGATTTGATTTGTATGCATGTGATGCTCTAACATCATAATGCGTTAACCGCTTGCTTCACCTGTAAAGCCTAGTACTGCTGCTGTGCTGACTATACGGGAGCCTGCACTAACCGCGGCTAATCACGCCCCGCCGTCCTCACCGCGCGGGGGCTGTGTTGAGGCTGTCTCCGCCCTGTGCGAGTCCGCCCCGCCGGTCCTCACCGCGCGGGGCTGTGTTGAGGCTGTCTCCGCCCTGTGCGAGTCCGCCCCGCCGTCCTCACCGCGCAGGGCGTGTGTCGAGGCTGTTTCCGCCCTGTGCGAGTCCGCCCCGCCGTCCTCACCGCGCGGGGCCGTGTTGAGGCTGTCTCCGCCCTGTGCGAGTCCGCCCCGCCGTCCTCACCGCGCGGGGCCGTGCTGTGGCTATTCCCAACCGGAGCGAATGCACCCTGTAGCCGTGCCGACGGTCAGCGCCCCCGCCGTGCAGCCGCTGACGTCCCTGACACACGCGGCAGGCGGGCCTGGACGGCGCCGGGCTGGCCGAGCTGCTGACCTCGGCAGCGGCCCGACCGGACGGGACGCCGGCGCGCTGGAGGCGATGGACAGCCTGGTGCCGCGTCGGCCGGCGCTGGCCGTGAGGGCGCTGCGGGCCGCCGCTGACCGGCTGCGGCGCGCCCCGACGGCCGACTATGACAGGCTGGCGGCGCTGCAGACCAGGCGAGTGCACTCTCACCACGGCATCCCTCCTCACCACCAGTTCCTCTTTCTCACCATAGCGGATCTTAGCGGTCCTCAGCGGTGATTCGTCCTACGCTAGCTCCAGATTGGATTGTTTTTAGTTTCAATGTCTTCAGAAAGTGCACCTGTATCGGCCGCACATGGGGCATTTACCGGCACAGATTACTTCCACGCACCGGCCCACGTTGACACCGCCTGCGCCGATCGTGCCTGTACTGAGCCTGAGAGGGGATTTGAACCGGCAGGTACATCAGCTTTGACACTGGACCAGCTGGGCGCGCCGGGACTGACTGCTGACGAGGCGCTGAGGGCTGTGCTGGAGGTGCGAGACGTCATCCGGGCGGCCGACGGACCGTTACCCCAACATGGCGGTCAGTGAGGGACGCTACCCCAACATGGCCGTCAGTGAGGGACGCTGCCCCAACATGGCGGTCAGTGAGGGACGCTGCCCCAACATGGCGGTCAGTGGGGGACGCCGCCCCAGCATGGTCAGTGTGGGACGCTTGCCCCAACATGGCGGTCAGTGAGGGACGCTGCCCCAACATGGCGGTCAGTGAGGGACGCTACCCCAACATGGCCGTCAGTGAGGGACGCTACCCCAAACATGGCGGTCAGTGAGGGACGCTACCCCAACATGGCCGTCAGTGAGGGACGCTACCCCAACATGGCGGTCAGTGGGGGACGCCGCCCCAGCATGGTCAGTGTGGGACGCTGCCCCAACATGGGCGGTCAGTGAGGGACGCTGCCCCAATATGGCGGTCAGTGAGGGACGCTGCCCCAACATGGCCCGTCAGTGAGGGACGCTACCCCAACATGGCCGTCAGTGAGGGACGCTGCCCCACATGGCGGTCAGTGAGGGACGCTGCCCCAACATGGCCGTCAGTGAGGGACGCTGCCCCAACATGGCGGTCAGTGAGGGACGCTACCCCAACATGGCCGTCAGTGAAGGACGCTGCCCCCAACATGGCGGTCAGTGAGGGATGCTGCCCCACATGGCGGTCAGTGAGGGATGCTGCCCCAACATGGCGGTCAGTGAGGGACGCCGCCCCAACATGGTCAGTGTGGGACGCTACCCCAGCATGGCGGTCAGTGAAGGACGCTACCCCAACATGGCGGTCAGTGTGGGACGCATACCCCAACATGGCGGTCAGTGAGGGATGCTGTCCCAGCATGGCGGTCAGTGAGGGACGCTGCCCCAACATGGTGGTCAGTGAGGGACGCCGCTCCAACATGGTCAGTGTGGGACGCTGCCCCAACATGGCGGTCAGTGAAGGACGCTGCCCCAACATGGCGGTCAGCATGGGACGCTTTCCCAACATGGCGGTCAGTAAGGGACGCTTTCCCAAAATGGCGGTCAGTAAGGGACACTACCCCAACATGGCGGTCAGTGACGGACGCTACCCCAATATGACGTTCAGTGAGGGACGCTACCCCAACATGGCGGCCAGTCGCTTATGTTACGCCGATCTGACGGTCAGCTGCTGGTGCTGGTTCGACAAGGCGGGCAGTGATGTGTTCAATGGACGTCCGTACAGTTTGTGATGGTTCGCTGGTGGTAGTCTCCACGACACGTCAATGAACCGGAGACGTGTTTCGGTGGCGCCAGCTGTCGTTCGGCCGGGGCCGTTTCTCGACGGCCGTGTTGGAGTGTAGCCAGCGGAGAGTCGCGCTGCACCGGCAGTAACGTGACGCCGTCCTCCTCCGCGCCGCCCGCCAGACTCTGCTGGTGATGACGCGCACCTGGAACCAGGCGGTCCAGCTGCACGTGCAGGGCGAGCCCCAGCAGGCCAACAGGTGGGGCGCAGGCGCGACTTCCCCACTCCGGCATCTTTTCACACGGAGATGCGCCGCGACTTGTGCAACAGCTTTAACGTCATGTCATTTCAAACGGACTGATTAAACTGCTCCTGAAAGTGCTTCGGAAACCTTTTTGTCAAAAGCGGCTGGAGAGTTCTCGTGCCCGACGCGTTTTTTTTTTTTTGCTGATGTTTTTAAGTGCACGACATGCATTATGACGCGCAGTCCTATCGGGGTGAAATATTCGGTAGCGTCGGTAAGCACACGCTGGGCCATGTGTCTATGCGGGGCAGCTGCGCCGTACCAGTCAGGGTGACCTGACCCCGTGCGGACGGCAGGTGGGCGGCGGCCGCGCGCAGCATGACCTCACTGCTGGCCACCCAGACCGAGTGGTACCGCCGGCACATGCAGCTGCTGCCGTCGGCCGCCGCCCAGCCCGGCCCCCGCGGCGCCGCAGGGCACAGAGTCGCCGCCGTCGACAGCGCTGCCACCTAGGACTGGTGCTGCGGCTCAGCCAGATGGGGAGACTGGCGACGGACCCCAACCGGACCGGACCGCGAGGATCGGTTACGTCTCAGAGGTCCGGACCGCAGCGGCTCCCGGCCGGCATGCGCACCATCTATGTTGCTCGCGATTTCTGTTCACTGTTGTTCAAAGTGCAGTCCGTGTTCCGCGGTTACCATTCAGTTCAATGGGCTCCGATGATGACATCCCGCGCCATGTGCGCTAGCGGCGCGCGGCAGCCACGATGATAAGGCCAAACGGGGACCCGACAATACAGCAGAAATAGTGTCACGAGTCCTTAGTGTCGGTCACGGCCATGTCAATGACCAGCGAGTCTTCACAGAGACTGTGCAGCGTGGAAATGTATTCATCACGAACAACACCAAAAACAATGCGGCCGCCAGTCCGGCACGAGACGTTACGCACACTGGGGATGACTGGCCGCGCAAACGCTCGCGGTTTGGAGAGATGTTGTTCGACAATAAGGTACAGCGGGGCTGATACGTGTCCTCGAAGAAAGGAATAAAAAGTACAAAAAGTTGCCTGGTAAAAGCATCCCCTATTTATATCACAACGTAGTGTAGGTTCAGAATACTTCGGAGCTTCTCCCCACCGGGTTCCGGGTCGTAAAAAATGAAGGTCAGGAGGGCAGCTCAAGTACTTCAAACGAAAATTTGAAGCCTGTCGCAACCTCGGGCTAGGCCTAAAACTTAACCTTAAAAATCCTGAGAGCAGAGCCTAAGCACACAAAGGAGTATTTTGGCACGTGAGCTGAAAGTTCGCGCATAATTGAAACTACGCACAGGCGTTCGTCGACGCACCGTCCCTAGCTCTCAATATCAGTTCACAGCCATCTATGAGGCTGAGAACCCGCGGTCACCTACCCCGCCATCACCCCACCGCGATCTGCAGCATCTGGTGCGTGTCTGCTGAGGACTCGCGGTCACCTACCCCGCCATCACCCCATCGCCATCTCCAGCAGCTGGTGCGTGTCTGTAATCCACCACTTCCACCCTTTAACCTGAACTCCCGCCATCCACCAGACCTAAATCTACCTGACCGCCACCTCCGTTTCGATCTTAAGGCCTTCAGACAATCACCTCCAAGCACAGACCGGCGTAGCTTTGTGCACTCAGACGGCCATCTTCATGTAGAGCTTCTTGTGCGGATCATACCCCTCCAGCTGAAGGTCGTCCATGGTGAACTGCTGGATGTCGTCGACAGCGCGAGCGAAACGCAGCCGCGGGAAGGGGCGAGGCTCGCGCGCCAGCTGCTCTTTCAGCGGCTCCACGTGGTTCAGGTACACGTGCGTGTCACCCATGGAGTGCACGAACTCGCCCGGCTGCCGACAGTGCCGCCCGATCACATCACTCGCAACGTTTCGCGACAGCTTCAGAGCGAGGCGTGGAACAGTCAAGGTGACGAAAAATTATGAATACCATAGTACAACGACGCTTGATGAATACTTGTCGTCTATAAGTACTGCCAAGTATAAAAGCAACGGAAACCAGGGAAATCCGATACCGCCCTGGCATGTGCTTTTCACCCACGATTAGCCGACGTAGCGAAGGTACCAGTCAACAAAACTGCAGGGATAGACCATTTAGCAGCTACCTCCGCGTAGTTCTGCAACAGGGTATTACTGGGCGTCCAGATCGAGTCACTCCAGCTGTGGGCACCACCCATGCAGGTACGTTAGATGATACAGCACCCGCCTCAAGCTGGGCGTCACGTGACCCCCCGGTGCGCACCTTCAAGCCGGTCACGTGGGCGATCATGCAGGTGAGCAGGGCGTAGCTGGCGATGTTGAAGGGCACGCCGAGACCCATGTCGGCCGCGCGCTGGTACAGCAGGCAGCTGAGCTCGCCGTTGGCCACGTAGAACTGGGCCAGGCAATGGCACGGCGGCAGCGCCATCAGCGGCAGGTCAGCCGCGTTCCACGAGCTCATCACTATGCGGCGGCTGTTCGGGTTCGTTCTGGCGGATCGGCGGCCCGGGCGGGTCAGGGTGGGGTCGTGCGGGGTCACGGCGGCGCGTGAGGGGGTCGCGACGGCACGTGGAGGGTCACGGCGGCATACGAGCGGTTACGGCGGCACGTGAAGGGTCACGACAGCACGCCAGGGGTCTCTGACACGCGAGGCGTCAAAATGGCACATATGGGCAAGGCAAACAGTTACGAAACGTGACCGCGAGCACAAGATGAGATAACCAAAGTACGAGCAGGAGACGCAGAGAAGGCGGTGCAGACACCACGTACGGTGTTGTGCCGAGTAGCAGATCGACCACGCTCTGATCACGTCGAGGTTATCTGAAATTCTTAACGCGGCATGCCTTCAACACTTGCACACATGAGACGTTAAAAAAAGTTCAAACAACGGAAGCTTTGAAGAAAACTACTGAAGTGGTAAATGCAGGGCGAGACTAGGCAACATGGCGACGCAGTGCATACCGTTCGGTGGCGCGCTATACAACCACGCCGCCAGCGCCTGCGCGGTCCCCTCCCCGGCGACAGCGGGAGGGGGAGGGGGCGGACCGGGGCTGTCCACCTGATGTCGTGGATGACGCTGGCCAGCTGGTCGACGCCCTGGCCGGTGTAGTCGGCGTCGGGGCCGCGGTACTTGGCGCCGAAGTGTCGCCACTGGAACCCGTACACGGGCCCCAGGTCCCCTGGCCACCGCCGCCACTCGTCAGATCTCCGACCGGACAAACCGGACCAGGCCTCGACCGGACCGGACCAACCACCTCCAGTCACAGAAGCGGGTTTCACTTCCAGTGCAGGCCAGTCACAAGGTCGGAACGGACCACAGCAGGGACGGATCATCAGCCTGCATGCCAGTTAATAACAACGCCTCGGCCTGTGACGCACGCCTATAGGCCTCACGTGGGGGCCAGCACACACATGGCTGTATCTGGTCTCAAAGCTCGTAGCTCGCGTAGCATAACCTGCATGTCCATTCAAACGATGTAAATGTATGCAAAACCGATGGGAATGTTAGTAAAATCGTACGAAAACATGCGACATGGAAAAAACCTCACCTGCTATGTTCCAGTTAGACCTGTCCGAAATAAACGCAGCTGATACTGTGGCATTGCATGATTTCATGCATGCCCCTGTATATATCTAAGACAAAAATGTAGGCACGGCCAATCTACAGAGGAGAAAGAAACCAGGACCCTCGGACACCGCAGAGATCATCCTGCAGCCATCGGCTGGCGAAGCCAATTTCGGAGCCAAGCATCTCCGAGGAATCTGACAGCGTGCCATCTGGCGAAGGCAAGCACATCTACGCGTGGTCATATGAGCGAACGGCAGGCTATTTGGGCTAAGGGGGTGAGTCGACGGCAACGGTCTTCTACGCCCAACTGCGGCTATATGTGCATCTGTGCAACCATGTCCCATCATGTAAAGCATGCAGCTGTAAAACACTGCTGTCGGTTTTGAGAATCGCGTATCAAGAGGACAAGTTGATTGGTAAGAAGGCGTGGGAACAAAGGAATGAATACAACAGGCGCGTGCTACGCCCGGTTGCAGCGCATCTCGCGCGGGCGGCAAACCATAACGAGCGGTTCATGCGCGGTTTACGTAAACTTAGTACGACGGGGTACTTTCAGCCAGGGTCGTGCGACATCAAAACATGTTGTGACGGTGAGTAAATGACCTCTAAGTTAATATCGTAAAGACATGTAAGAGCAGCTCCCGCGTCAGCACTGGCGCGCCCACCTATGAGTGAGCGCGGAAACTACGCCGCACAAGGCCACGACCAAAGAGACGATATCGTTCGCTGGCCAAGTGTGGACACTGCACGAGAACATGAGCGACGAGCGGCGCGTGGTCACAGCGCGGGAATGACGATACTTGCCCCGTCGAGAGGAGCAAACCATGTCCCGACGTGTGACCTATGCGAGGCGGCAGAGGATAACCTCCCCTCTACTGTCGCGATGAAAACTGAGACTGAGATTCACCTAGGTTTGGCTTCGCGCGTTTCCCTGGCCATCGGTGCTCGTGCGATCCCGAGTCTTTCGCCAGTCTGTCCTTATGTGAGCTGGCAGCGCCTGCCTGAATTCAGAAAACGGCGCTCAGGAAGAGCAAGGGCGAGTTTCGAGTAGCTCTCCGCCGGGACCAACGCCTTCCAGATTGCAACAGATTAGCGGTAAAATCGAACAGAAGGGGGACAATGCAAAACATTTAGTCCGGCTGGCACACACCCCAGCGCACTCTGTGCCTACTTTGGACCTTGAGCCACCCGTCTACGCATGTAAGTACGCAGCGCACTGGGCGCAGGTACGCTGGAGAAGCTCACAGCGAATCTCGCCAGCCGTCAATGTTGTGGCCAGGGTGTGGAGCCAAGTGCCACAGATCTGTTTTGGGAGGCCCCATGGCAAGCATGGTGGGCCTGTCATACCAGTGACGTTCTTCGTTATGCTAAATTCTTGCAGGCTCCTCCTGACCCTCCCACTGATACTCTGATGTGCCTACAGTGTAAAATTCAAACAAATGGGAAAATGACGCAAAAAATGCAGCGACAGGTAAGACGTGCACAAACTGTGCGAGTTTTAGGGTGTACCGTGCGCTGAGTTTTCGCGTCGGAATAACAGAGGCAGTTTGCTCACCTCGACCAGGAGACAAGAGATGGGACTGATTCTAGCGGCCCATCCGCTCACGCAGACCGTTCCCCGGGGCACCCATCACCTCTACCTCCACATGCAGCATCCCCTGCCCGGCCGGGTGCCCCCGCGTGCTTTCTTTCTGCCCCGGCCCTGCCACCGGGCGGTGCGGCGGCGCGGCCTTACCCTCCCGGCGGTCGGTGAAGCCCAGATGATCGAGGAACTCTCTGCTGCCGTTGCCGTCCCAGATGTGCACGCCGCGCTGCTGCAGCTCGGCGGCGTCCGTGCTGCCGCGGATGAACCACAGCAGCTCCTCAGCCACGCCGCGCCAGAACACGCGCTTCGTGGTCAGCAGTGGGAAACGACCTGCACGCAAGAGGAACGACCGCCATCAGAGGGAACAGCCTGGACGCAAGAGAAACAACCGGCATCACAGGGGAACGGCCTGAACGCACGAGAAACGACCGGCATCACAGGGGAACGGCCTGAACGCACGAGAAACGACCGGCATCACAGGGGAAACGGCCTGAACGCACGAGAAACAACCGGCATCACAGGGGAACAGCCTGAACGCACGAGAAACAACCGGCATCACAGGGGAACAGCCTGAACGCACGAGAAACGACCGGCATCAAAGGGAAACGGTCTGGCCGAATGGCAAACGGCCTGCACGTAAGGGAGACGGCCTGCACGCACGGGAGACCGTCTGCACGCACGAGAGACGGTCTGCACGCACTAGACGGCCTGCATGCACTAGAGACGGCCTGCACGCACTAGAGACGGCCTGCACGCACAGGGTGTCTGTCGGCGTCATCAACATCTTTGTGGCTCTGTACATGGCACACACACACACACACGAGCTGGTTAGCACGTAAGGTGACGAGCAAGCTTCCACTTTCCTCTTAATGATTAATGAAGTTCAGGGCACCACCAACCACCCTTAACATGTGCCATGCATTTCCACATACCATCTCTAAGGGAGAATCTCATCTGGGTGCCAAACACAGAGAGAGTGCCGGTTCCCGTGCGGTCATCGCGCTGAACGCCGGTTTCGATGATGCGACGGATCAGGTCCAGGTACTGGTGTTCCTCATGGGGCTCGTTGGATTTGTCGCCCTGCCGGTGGCACGACAGTCAGGTGCTGCTGGTGCATATGGTTGTGCCCAAGGGCACGGTTCTAAATTGACAACGTGCTGGGGTGGTGCTGCCAGCGGCCAGAGACAGATGCCCCTATTAATTTGGCAAAGGAAACAACCACATCTTTGTCGCCCATGACCCCCTCCCCCAAGCTCGAAAAATATCAGGAGCCTGTCACGTTGAGACAAGGCGCCATATAACCTAGAAAGTATTCCTTCAAATAAAAAAGCTGCCCCTTAAGGCACACAAGACCTAATACCTGCCCTTAAGATGGCCTTTGATGGCCAGCATTATGCTCTCATAGTTGACAGGAGGTCTAGATGATTCCAAGGGGCCCCAATCAGATGCATAGGGCATCTGATTGAGAACAATGAAGTAATGTCAGCCAGCCCAAGAGGCCACAATAAGAAGGACCAGAGGTCCACCATGCTAAGAGGTATTATTCAATTAAGTTTATATCTTCAAGAGGTCCTTTTCAAAGTGGATGAAATCTGATGCATAGAGCTCAGATGGGGTATCCCCAGAGCTGATCAGCAGGCACCCGATCTCAGCTCCCTTGGAAAAAGGAGCCACCCCCTGGCAATGTGACACAAGCTGGATGTCTGTGCTGCAGCAACATGAATGCTTCAAGCACTAGGACTCAGGAGGGCATGAGCCAGCATGGGTCTTCACAAGCTTACTGGCAGCTGGGATAGCACTAAGTAACATGCATATAGACATGTGCATGGATTTAAAGGGTAGATGATTGATGTGCAGGGCCTTTCACATTGACTCCAGATCCAGACCCCTCGGGTGATTAAAAGAGGGGGGAAGAGGCAGGGCAGCTGCCACCATCACCAAGTCCTATGGTAATGATCATCTTTGAAGGAGATGAAGATAAACACTGCTTATAGATATCAAAAGCAAATACTAGCTTTATTTGGAAAGCCATCCTCATGAACTACATGAAATGTTGGAAAAACACAAAATGATTGATTATGATATAATTACAACCACTTGCTTCACAAAGCTTGCCCTCATATAAGAATAGTAATGAATTAATCAACAACATTGTATTCATAAAAAGCATATTCCCTAAGCCTGATACTGAAAACTCTTAACAGTTCTGTTAAAGATGAATGAAAAGGTATGTTCCTTGAAGGGAAGTGCTCACCTGAATGTGAAGGGAAGTGCTCACCAGTGCTGTGAATGAAAAGGTATGTTCCTTGAAGGGAAGTGCTCACCTTTACAACAGGTGAGCTGCCTGCTACGGTATCACCCTGCTCAGCCATGGCTTGCAGTTCTTCAGGTATATATGTCTATTCCTGAAAGTAAAAAGCAATAAGCATTAGAATAATTAGCAATAAACATAACTTTACATTAGATGCAATAAAAGCATAATGAACTTACTTTGCATACTTAACCTTACATTACAATTATACAATCAAGCTAAGACCTAACTTATACAAAATATAATTTCAATGTCTCACCCCAGGACATTTTTGTGTTAGATTCATGAGATGTATACATTGACACATACACAAAATGCACACCATAAATGGTTAATCTTTCATTTTTTCAGCAACAGATATTCATTCAAGTGTCCAAGTCAGCAATATTACTCTTTTCAGTCTTAGATGTGGCTGCCTGCAGCAGCCATGCAGCCAGAAAGCCATCATTATGTTGAAGCTCTCACACAAAAATCATTGCACAAAAGCAAAACAGTTTGCACCAGTTTGCACTGCTTGTGCTGATCAAGAGAACATGCCACAAACCGATGCCACTCCAGAAAAGCCAGTTTTAGTGTTGCTGCTCTGACAATAAGATTTTCTTGTTTGTATTGTGAGATGTTTGATACATTTTTTTAAAAATTTTAGATTTGTTAATGTAGTGTGCAAAATGCTAAATAACTAGCTCAGTGTGCAAATTAATTGATCAATTCATATTGAGCATAGCAGTGGGGGTAATAAGCAGTCAGTAGAGGCAAATAAGATTGTCAGGATGGTATTGGAGACACCCCACCTCTTGGTCAATTACCACCAGCCCCTGCCCCAAAACAGAGGAGTTGGCTGTGCCATTTGGAAAAGGACTGGACCTGCCCAAAACTGGGAAGCATCAAAGCAGAAGCCCAGCACTCTCTACGCATTGAAATGAAGCACTCAACACATGTCACATTTCCCACAGCGCATATATCATCACTTCAAAGCCTGCCTGCCTACAAAAATGTGCAGAACCGTTACGGCCCGCCCGAGGCTCACCGGCCATAGCCTCGGGCCAAGCGACGGCGGCCTTTTTTGTCAGAGCTGCGCTGCATTGACCTCCTTCTTAGTGATGGATTTCATGTTTCTGGTTCTTGAAGCTGGAATATGCAGTTTTTGTTCCAAAAGATGCCAAACACTGCGTTATGCATTCTAATAGCAACTGTATTTTTCAAGCACCATGAAACATCCCTGGTACATAGTACTTCAAAAAAATATAATTATCCTTCTTTTATATTGTTTGTGCATTCCCGTGGCGCAGCTGCGCCGAACATGACGCTGGGGAGCAGTGCGCGATGACTTTTTCTACTACTTACAAACTACTACGGTCTTGGCAGCAGCGGTCCTTGCCCCAGTCAACAACCGCAGCGAAGCGGGGTCTGGGCTGCAGGAGTCAGAGGTTTCAACAAACGTTTAAAGGTATAAGGTAGTAGCGTGTTTTCTTACAATTTCTCCACGTTTGTGGGCTTTGATTATGAGAAGTAGTCCAAAAGATACGCCACACATTTTCCATATTTTCTCTATCCCGCCTTTCCCCTGTTATACACTGGTGACGCTGGGCAAAGATCGCCCTCCCACTCGGTTTATGCTGTGTTAGTGTAACGTCCCTTACAGCTAACATTCGTATAGCCCCCAGCTAAGCTACAGATGTGAAAGAAAGGTGGGCATGCTGCTTGTCAGATGTGAAAGCCAACAGTATGCAGGCTTAATGTTTGGAAATACTTTATTCGTATTGTGGTATTATGTGCGACTCTATCTGAGCATGGTGTTATGCTGTCTGAAACCTCCTCCCTCACCCTTCAGTTACCCCTACTTTAAAATGCTCTCCCTGGCATCAGGCTTAGCATAACATTTGGATGGCCCTGTGCACCAAAAGTCAAGGTGCTGAACCAAATGCATTGCAATTTAGAGTGATTCCATTGTTACTGGTGTGGCCTCTGGCATACTTGGCCATTTAGTGCCCAATTTTGCCAGTGTCCCATGGTTGGTGGATGTGGTATCACAGTGAAGGATAAGGGTATTGTAGCACTTTTTTATGCTGAAATATAGAACGACAACCATCAGCCTTATATAGATGAAGGCATGTAGGTATGCATGCTATACTTACCAAATAGCAGATAGACAAAAACTGATCCTGGACAGGGAGCTATTAAGATTGTGCTCTGCTTAAGGATATTTCATGTGAGGTAAAGGGGAGTAGTAAATTGCATTGATGGCTTTTTTGGAAAGGTTTTGTCAAATCGACATACTTGAGGTTGTGCTCAAGTCTGGCTTTTGTTCAAGAGTTGTATTGCTCGTTACAGCAATGGGAGGGGGGCATTACAAATACTCAGTCTGTTTTTTCAATTTGTTTTGCATATGTGGGTGTATTTTAAAACAATCTTTGTCCATCCCGGTGGCTCAGTTGGTTAGAGCGCCTGCCTTCCGATCCACCCACCCATGGCGGGTGGGTTCGAGTCGCTTTAGGGCCCTGGCTATTTGTCCTTGACAGGTATGGCCTGCGGCCGGTGGCAGCGGTCGCGCTAAAGGTCGGTTGACGTCAGAGGGCAGGAATTGCGGCACGTTAAGCTTTTGCCACAAAATTCTGCGGTTGACATGGAATTGCGCGATCGGATGGTAGGGGTCAGGGCTCACACAACAAGCACTGCTTAGTGTGAGCTCTGATCCCGGAAATCCATCCATTCAAAGGGTTTGAAACAAATCTTAAAAAATCTTATCAAACAGACCATAAGCAACATACATGCTATGACTGGTTACAATAAACACATAATGGCACATGCAGGCAAAGTTCTGTTTTGCTCTGCTCAATGGAGCAACCATTTCAAATCCAAGATAGACATATCTGTCAAAGAGTTGGTATTTTACTGCAAGTCTTGACAAAGCCAATTAGGTAGCATACTTCTGGGATCACAACATGGAACACAGCTGTAGGTATGCAAGTTTCAGTGAATTTGATTGTGTGCCTTACAAGAATGGATAAGTGTTGAACATGTATTGTGTATCTGTACTATTAAGATATTGAAGTATTAGCACATTGTTCTACTATGCCAAATGCCCATTAGTAAATGTTTGAGGGTGCCAATGGATGTTCAAGAAAATAGTTATTAATGGAGTGTTCATATATTTGATGAGATCAGTGATTTCATCACAGCAATATTTTAAAACATTACTAAGGTCATTACATGTTATAGGTTTTAGATAGATTTGTCACATTCTACAAAATGGGATGTTGAAGCAAAGCTAGCCAGCTAGTATATCTTGTATATATTGACTGAAAATAATGAATAACTCATTTCAGGTTTGCATTACCATAAGCCTCACAATGATGGAGGCTACCACAGACCCAGCTATAACCACACCACTGCAAAAGAAAGTGCCAAGAGATATCAGTGATGATGACATCTTTAAGCCTAGAAACCAGCCAACTGCAGAAGCCATCATCACAGACTCTGGGTCCGAAAAGGTACCTTTGACACCGTTGGCTATTGGCCGCCTCAAGCAGCAACATATTGTTTAAAACTGTTTCAAGCTTTGTTGTGTATTCTGTTGCTGGAATCTTCTGACTAAAGTATGTTGCAAACTCTGGCATCTTATTTTAATCAGTTGTCACATTATAGCTCTCTCAGTACACAACAATGATGTCCATGGTATGTCAATATGTGCAAGACGTTTTCCAAGTGCTTCTGTTCACTGGAATATTTAGGACGTGTTCAGCAGTGGAAAAATTATTCACTGAATAATTATCTCTCTAATAATCTTCCACAGAGACCCTTGATTTATGTTTGGCAGATCCGAAAATTATTCCCCAGCTTCGACTCCATGGCACCATGCACAGCCAATGGTGATAGTCATGGAAAGCAAATAAAAATCTTCTCTGTTTTGGTCATACTCTAAAATTTTCTGGGATTTTTCCTTGGTATGGATGATTATCTGTGGAAAGTCTTCGTGATTGAAGTGCCGAAAGCCATTCAGGGAAATTTCCAACATTTCGGACAATTCTCCGAGGTTATCAGCAGGCTGAACTTGTTGTTTAATAGCTGTGTGCTGCCTAGATAGACATATTTACCTGGCTGTTGTCAGCTAATACCATCAACTCACTCTTAGCAAACTCTGTTTACACATCCATCTGTGTCAGTCATAAGGTTTTCCCATGTCATTTTTGAAACTTTTTAAAATTCACTGAGTCACGAATACCACGCACCAAACGTTGTCGGTCTCACACCGCGCCTGCGGTCAGATGGACCGGTGCAAGACGGAGGACGTGCGGGAGGAGACGGAAGAGGGGGCGGATAGCTCTGACGCCTCCAGCCCGGAACCGCTCTCCCCGTTGCGGCCGTTCTACAAGGTCCGCTTCATCACCGACCAGGTCACGAAAAATGGCGATATCATCAACTACCAGATCGAGGTGACCAAGGTAAGAGGTGCTGCTGATTCCAGGCAGTCTTGATATTCTTCAGGCTAGCGTCTGGGTGTACGGCACCACTGAGGTGTCCAATGCTACGTTGGACGTATTCCCGTGCAATTCCACTAATGTATTCGGACGCGGCGATTGCAGCGCGTCGTGGCTGTGATCGTCGAGATATCGCACGCGCTGGGTGCTGCGCCAACTTTGCCCGGAATCCCTTTGGCCTTATGAGAGTGCATAGTTTGCCAGTCGGCCTTCTATTCACCAGTGTCTTCGCAAGGCGGTGAAGTCGAGTGTCGGAGCGCGTAATACTGACACGCCCCGTGCCGGATCTATCTGAATAACTCGCATGTCGCGCTCTCGTAACCGGACACGGCCGGGCGGTATCGGGTGTGGGTGCACAGCTACCCACCCCGCGTGTCGCCGCGCAGTCAGCTGCTGCCATAGTCATGCGGTCTGCGTGATGGGGCCGACGGGAATGATCGGTGACCCCGCATCGCCGGGTGGCACCCTGTGTGTAGCGTCACTGGGTGGACTGGTGGAGGCCGGTGTCTGCAGCAGCCACACCTTATCACGGTGTCTCCAACGGTGGTGGTTAGTGCGACCGACAGCTGCACTGTGCCCTAAATGGCCGCCAGCGCGCGGGAGTGGTCAGGTCCCACCACCGGACTCATTGACGTCGTGGCGCTGTGGCCCCATGTGCAGGTGCGATGCACGGCCGACGCCGCCCATACGTGTTATGCGGCATCCGCCGGGCGGTGGCGCGCCACCTCCCACCTGCGCCGGCCGGAGCGCCGCCCGCCCGGAGGCCCCGCTGATGGCATCCGCGTCTCACCCGCAGACGGCAGCGCCGCAGAGCAGCTGGTGATAGGGCGCCAGTACGAGGATCTCGAGTACCTGGAGGCAGTGCCTGGCGGGCGGCGGGCGGAGCGCGGTGCGTGATCGCCCCGCCGCTGCCGCCACCGCCGGCCACCGACCCGCTGCAGGCCGAGCTGCGTTCGCGCCGCCAGCTCGGCGCCGACTCGACCGTCCTGCTCGGGGATGACTGGCAGCGCGACTGTCGGCTCATGGAGAGGTGGGTCTGACCTGCGGCGGCGGCCGAGAGGTGGGTCTGGCCCGCGGCGGCGGCCGGGAGTGGGGTCTGGCCCGCGGTGGCGACCGAGGACGGGGTCCTGGCGCGCGGCGGCGGCCGAGAGTGGGTTCTGGCCCGCGGTGGCGACCGAGGACGGGGTCTGGCCCGGCGGCGGCGGGTGAGAGGTGGGTCTGGCCCGCGGCGGCGGCCGAGAGCGGGGTCTGGCCTGCGGCGGCGGCCGAGAGGTGGGTCTGGCCCGCGGTGGCGGACCGAGAGCGGGGGGTCTGGCCCGCGGCGGCGGCCGGCCGAGAGGGGGTCTGGCCGCGGCGGCGGCGGCCGAGAGGGCGGGTCTGGCCCGCGGCGGCGGCCGAGAGCGGGGTCTGGCCCGCGGCGGCGGCGGCCGAGAGTGGGGGTCTGGCCCGCGGCGGCGGCCGAGAGCGGGGGTCTGGCCCGCGGCGGCGGCCGAGGAACGGAGTCTGGCCCGCCGCGGCGGCCGGGAGCGGGGCGGGCGGGGTATGGGCACTTACGGGTGTTGCCGGGACTCGATGTTTCGCGCTCTGTGGATGTTATTGGCGTGAACATGTCAGTTCATATTGCCAAAAAATGTGTGAGTATGCACTGGAATTGGGGTTTTAGATATGTACGTTAACTTAAGGATTTTAACACATGGACTGTTAACAATGCAAAGAGAGTTGGAAACAGGCTGAAAAGTAGCGTCGACCAGTCCTCGGCGGACACGCATGTTTATTTTTCAATTAACTCATCAAGCAACAACAAAACAACAAGCAATATCGTGAAACATAGACATGCAACCAATGTCAAACGGAGGGGCACTCAGGCGTGCGCTTCCTATCGAATTGATATGAGCACAGTGGTAGGAGCAGTTTGTTGGGACCTGAAAGGAGCATACGTTTTAGCGCACTAAGGAATCAAGACGGTGAATTACCGGCAGCTTACCCTCCTTTTCAAACCAAATTTGAAACCAGTCGTCAGTCTTTCTCCAGAGCCATGTGTCATCCCACCACGTTGGACGCTGGGCCCCCCATTCCCGTCTGTCACCTCATCACATCGGACGCCGGGGTCCGCTCCCCCGTCTGTCACCTCACCACATCGGACGCTGGGCCCCCATCCCGTCTGTCACCTCACCACATCGGACGCCCGGGTCCGCTCCCCCGTCTGTCACCTCACCACATCGGACGCTGGGCCCCCATCCCGTCTGTCACCTCACCACATCGGACCCCGGGTCCGCTCCCCCCGTCTGTCACCTCACCACATCGGACGCTGGGCCCCCCATCCCGTCTGTCACATCACCACATCGGACGCCGGGCCCCCATCCTCGTCCGTGACAATGAGAGCGTGGGCGCCCGGCGGGCTGCTGCGGCCCGCTCTCCCCGCGACCCGCTCCGGTCCGCCGCGACCGGTTCACTTGGCCGTGCAGGGCTGCTGCACGTAGTTGAGACAGAAGCCGGTGTTGCCGCTCTCGGCCGTCTCCGAGTCGGCCTCCTGCGCGTCCGTGTGGTAGTACAGACGGAATGGCTTCATGAAGCTGTACACGGCGTCGGACGTGTTGGTGCCTTCCACGGCGTTGAATTTATCGCCGCACAGTCGGTCCACACACACGTTCTCGTCGCTCATGCGTGTCAGCGGCTGGTTGACGTTGTCTGTGGCGCAGGGGATGATGATCCAGTCCTTGTCGCAATTCTGACCCGTCTGTGACGTGACGGAGCTCTCGGGCGAGCCGTTGAGCTGAAAAGCCATCTGGCGGGTGGTGCCCGGCTCGCCGCACGGTGTGTACTGGATGCCGCAGAAGTTGCGCTCCATGCGGATGCAGGTGGTGTAGTCCTGGTTGGAGAGCTGCGCACCGTTCTGGAAGTCAAAGTTGTACGACTTAATGGCGCCCTGGATGCCGGTGAAGTACTGCAGGCAGCTGTTCTCGGCCGTGTAGAGGGTGTTGCACGGGATCTGCGAGACGCGCACCTTCCAGCTGCGGCTGAAGCTGCTGCCGGTGGTGACGACCGACAGCGTGATGGGCGTGTGGCTGCTGGCCGTGCCGGCGTCGATGTACATGTGGTTGCCGGTGTTGATGCCGCAGATGGTGGGCACCGGCGAGCCGCCGCTCACTGTGAACTGGTCGTTCTGGCACAGGTGGTTCTGGTCCTCGGGCTGCCCGATGACGAACGAGTCGAAGTCCAGCCGCAGTTGGCAGATGTTGTCGTGCAGCTTGTGCACCGTCAGCTGGCAGCTGCCCGTGCCGTCGAAGGAGCCCGGGTGGCCGCGGTTGACGAAGTACGTGTTGTTGATGCTGGTTGTCTCGCCGCACGTCTTGGTGAAGACGCAGCAGACGCCGTAGTCCTGCGCGCAGCTGCCGGACGCCACGCCGCCCAGCTGGTCGCACTCCTGCGCCGTGTAGCACGTGCCGTTGTTGCCGCTGCTCGCCGCACACACGAAGTTGTCGATCTTCACCAGCGTGAACAGCGGGAATGGGTTGAAGAGCCGTTGCTGGCGGCGCGACTCGGGCTCGTCCTGGCCCGCGCCGGCCGCCGCCGCCGCCGCCCGACCGCCGTAGCGGCTGGTGTAGTCGCGCCGGCGGTATGCGTCGGCCGGCCGGCCGAACGTCGCCAGCAGCAGCGCCGCCGTCCGCACGAGGAGGGAGGTGCGCCGCATGCTGCTGCCGTCCGGTGTTGTGGCGCCGGCCGCCGGCCGCCGCCCGTTTTACCCGGTGAAAGGCCGCGGGCGGGCGTGACGCTCCGACACCCATTGTCGTCGGTCGCGGCCCGGTCAGGCTCGCGCCCCGCGCCCCGCGCCCCGATGGGGAAACAGGGGGCTAATGCGGGCGCGGCCGGCGTGACCTCTGACGCCATCGGCGGCCGGCGCCCGGAGAGGGGCGCTCTGCCCGTCGGCCGGTGCGCGATGGACAGTGGCGGATTGCGACGGAAAGCGGCCCGGACGCCCGTCGTTTCCCGTCCATTGCACGCATACCAACAACGCGCTGTTTAATCGTCGGTAGTTGTGGGCTTCTTCAGGCTGAACGAACCGAACGCATGCCTGGTGGTGTAATAAGTATTGCGTTGTATGCATGTGACATTTACTTGCACGAAGAATATACTTACGAAGGAGTAGGACGAATGTACTTACAAATTTGTTCTGCTTACATAATCCGTGTTTATGTGTTGCACTAACGTGTCGGTTCTTATTGTTTTCATGCGTATGTTGCGTGAAGTATCGGCCCGAATATTGAAATCATACCATTTATGTTGGCATTATTGGTTCCATTTTGTAGCGGCCTTTGTTGATGGTAGGAATTGGTACCGTGGCGGCTCCAGATGATGGCGCAATTTCTGCGGGAGTGTGACCTCACTGATAACGTTCTGTGGGTTGTGCACGCGGGGTAATCCCATCTCTTCGCAGCCCCATTGAGACTGGTCGCCTTACTGGTGGATAGGTTCCCGAACTGTTATGCTTGGCCATGCTGCAAGCCGTTTTGCGGAGCGTTTCGGTTTTCCTTTCGATTTCTGATCTATGCTTATTTAAAAGAAAGCATTAAGTGAAACGTTGGTGTGGGGATTATATTTATTATTTGTATGGTAAGCTATTTCCATATGGCATTCATTGTAAGAATCGGACTAACTTGAGTTGATAGGTCTTATACGGTATGTAAGACTCATTGTAACGCGAGTCCGTGCCGACGTCGCTGCTCAGGAGAAAGTAAGAGACAACGAAAAGTCTTGGGAGATCAGAGTCATATCTGTCTGATACATTTTTGTGATGATGACCGACCCAGAGTGCAAAGGGCACCCTCAGCATAGTCATTTGTGGCCCACCCGTAATCTGCCGTGCATTCGTTCGATCAATAATCAGCGACACAATTTGCATTAGGAATCATTTCCCTTCTCGTCGCCCGGCGGCAGCCCGTATGTATTTTCGTGCCGTGTGTTACCAGCCGAGTTTCAAACTAGTCGCTGTCTTGTAAGTCGCCTGGTAATGCACGGCACGAACAAAGACGGGGAACAACGCCAGATTACGACACTACCGACCTGTAAACGCGTCGAACCTTTGACGCAGTGTCTGGCTGACACCGGCAGTGATCTGTTGATGACCGGGTGGTGTCTGCTGGTCATCGCGTCCGTGTCTGGCTGACACCAGCGGTGGTCGGTCGATGACCGGGTGGTGTCTGCTGGTCATCGCGTCTGTGTCTGGCTGATACCAGCGGTGGTCGGCCGAGGACCGGATGGTGTCTGCTAGCCATCGCGTCCGTGTCTGGCTGACACCAGCGGTGGTCTGCCGATGACCGGATGGTGTCTGCTAGCCATCGCGTCCGTGTCTTGCTGACACCAGCGGTGGTCGGTCGATGACCGGGTGGTGCCTGCTGGTCACCGCGTCCGTGTCTGGCTTACACCAGCGGTGGTCGGTCGATAATCGGATGGTGTCTGCTGGTCATCGCGTCCGTATCTCGCTGACACCAGCGGTGGTCGGTCGATAATCGGATGGTACCTGCTGGTCATCGCGCCCGGAGCCGGCGCCGTGCCGCCCGCTCCTTCCCCGTGCCGCCGGCCGACGCAGGGTGTCTGTCATGCCTCACCGCCGGCTCCCACGGCTCCGGCCCGCCGCCCGGGCCAACCGGCGGTGGCCGAGCGTGCCGACGCCACGGCCGGGCCGGTGTCGCGGCCGAGCCGGGTCGGGGCGCACGTACTCGGGCCGGTGTCGCGGCCGCGCGCCCTCGGGCCTGGTCGGGGGTGCACGCGGACGGCCGCCGGCAGGCTGCACTGGTGCCGCCGGCGAGCCGCGGCGCCGGTGACTCAGGCTCCGGTGGAACCCTGATTCACAGGGCGGTCGCCGACTGGGCGTGGATGAACGTCAACGCCAATAGACGCCGGTCATTAAAGCGTCGTGGTGGGACGAGGCGCCGCGCGGAAGACGGGGGTAAGGACGGAAGTTAGACGCTCTTGCTCGTGTTGGATGGCACCGTCTTCGCAAACGCTGTGCCCACGATCATGTTCTCCAAACTGGAACTTGCTTATATGGATTAAGGGCTGCCCAGCCCTAGATGGTGTACCCGCTGTATGCAGTCTACCGTGGGCGAACAGGACTTCGGCCGCTCGCAGTTCCACACGGCAGCTGGAAGTGTCATTCGCCAGTGTGGGGAGTTATTCCGCGGCTATGAGCTGGCCACGCCATAAATGTTTATATTACCGAGGCGTTTCGCAGCAAGTGATGGGGCAACCCTTGCAGCCACATGATTGATTAAGGTCAACTTTTCGTTATTGTCCGTGAAAGATGAAGTTGCATGCTGCGCAAGCCAGTTGCACAACACTGTCGCGTACGTGACTTTTAGGGCATTGTGGAGCGTGGAAGGTGACACTTAACAAACGGAGCATAGGAAGCTGCTACAGACTCTGTGTTATGTGTTTACAATTTATGTCATCAGCGCCGTTTACGCCGTACCGTTGGAAAGTGCAACATTAAGTCATAAAGACCAGGCTCTGCTGCTGGGGCTGGAGTGCCTGCGCCGGGCGGGGATTACGGAAAGGCAGGGGGCTCGGTCACAACGGCCTCCGTCTGTTGGCGTGCGTTGTCAAGTTCTCATCCTCGCCTATACGATGCCCCTTCTCTCCCTGAACTGCCCTCTATGTCCGGCATGAGACCATGTTGGTAGGCGGAGCCCCAAGCCCGCTGCCGCATCACGCGGTGATCCCCTTACCTGACCTCTATGTCTGTGCGCGTTGGTAGGTACCTTGCTGCGTCACGCGGTGATCCCCGTACCTGACCTCCATGTCCGTTTGTGTGCGTCGGTAGGTACCTGAAGCTGCTGCTGCGTCACGCGGTGATCCCGTGCCTGACCTCTATGTCTGTTTGTGTGCGTCGGTAGGTACCTGAACCTGCTGTTGCGTCACGAGGTGTACGGCCGGGACGCGGCGCTGGAGGCGTTCCTGACGCGGCCCGAGCCGCCCGTGCGCACGCTCGTGCGCCGCTCGCTGCTGACCCGGCTCACAGACGGCCTCTCCGGCTCTCGCGCCACACATCCCGACTGCGACGAGTTCTTCCAGCGCGAGCGCGTGCGGCTCAACGAGTACCAGCCGCTGCTACAGCGCGCCGCCGAGGCGTTCACCGCCGTCGTGTTCGCCCAGCAGCGTGAGTGTGACCTTGTGGCGTCAGGCGAGCGCTTGGCGTCGCGGAACACGTGACGTTCTGCCCGAGGGCAGTCGCTGTCGGAACTGACACGAGTCTCGAAACCTATCACGGGGGTGGGATGGGGGTTGGGGGGTGGGGTGGATGTCACTGATGCATGATGTATCCAGAATGGTTTGATGTTATGTCATGATTGCTGCCTCAAGTGGATCGTAGGGTAGCTGTATGCTATTGTGCTGGCACTGTTCCGACATTTGTGTGACGTGAGCGTTTTTGGTTTGTTGGACCGTAGCCCTGAATTGTCATAGGAAACGCTGATGGTAGATGTTTTCAGGTTGGCTGGTTACGGCAAGAGAAGTTATCATATATTTCAAAAATATATGGCAAATTTTCTAAATGCCGTGACAGTTGTAGAAACATTTAAAGTGTTGGACACTTGCGCGGGATTATACCTAGGAACCAAACTGTTGAAGCATGTATCAAGAATAGTGACCACAACTTTTCGGAAACACCTTCAAATATGCTAGAGCACAATATGCCGGTAATCCCTCGTGAGGACTTATTGTCGATGCGATGGGCTGCTTGGGCCGTGAACATGGAGCCTTGTTTGTCGAAGAAAAGTGGATAAGCTATCACGACCATTGATGTATCGAGCGGAGCGTTGTTGATGCGACGCGTCTCCGTCGGCCGTCGCTCGCTGCCGCGGATCCCCGAAGCACGCGATACGCTGACGGCTGGGCTCCGCTTCCAGGCCTGTCGAACCAGATCAATCACCTGGCGACGGCGCTCAACATCGGCGTCGGCTCCAACGAGGGCTGGAACGGGCTCTACCACAAGCTGAACACACGCTTCTCGGGCGCACTGCAGGAGTACAAGGTGACGGCAGCGAACAGCGGAGATGAGCTTGGCTCTGGCGTCCGACTGCCGTCTGTCCCGGTGCTCTGGTGTGTTGAGCGGACCCGTGTCTCACTGGGCATGCGTGACTGGGCGTGATGTGGGAGGGCTTCAGGCCAGGCCGTTGTGTTTACGCGGGTCGCCTCTGGCATATTTGTAGTCGTGAGACCGATTGAACGATGTCCGCATTCATCCAGTAGAGGTGGGGGTTGGTTGTTCATAAGGAAAACATGGGCAGAATGTGCCGTGTGGTACGTTGCCCAAGTGTTGTAGACAAGTATTGCAAGGCAAGCTTGTGGTATAGAAGCAAACAATTTATTGTTAGTAGCTTGGGTTTAATGATTGGCATTGACTTTGATCTCCACATATCATCAATGTTCAAGTATTTTGCTGACTAACTTGAGCTTGGGCCTGCTGTGTGGTAGTTGGTTGACTTACGCCGACACAGCCTGCGCTTAGCGGGTCTGGTCTAACTCGTGTCATTTATAATGAGCTTGCCTGACATAACCTAACTTAACCCTGACCTGACCTGGCCTGACCTGACCTAACCCTAAGCCAACCTTACCTTACCTTACCTCACCTCACCTCACCTCACCTCACCTTCACCTTGCCTTGCCTTACCTTAACTTACCCTACCTTACTTACCTTACCTTAACTTACCTACCTAACCTAACCTAACCTAACCTAACCTAACCAACCTAACCTAACCTAACCTAACCTAACTTAAGGTTACCTAGCCCAACCAAGCCCAACCTAGCCTAGCCTAGCCTGGCTTAGGCCTAAACTATGCTCACCTTGCATGACGTTACGTATAATGACCTTGGTTGACCTCCACTGACCTCCACCGTTTTGTGTGTGGCAGCGCGGTGTTGACCTGTCGACGACGAGCGCGGATGGCACGTTGGGCCAGACCCTGGAGCTGCACGCCCGGTACGCCCAGTCCGAGTCGGACATGCTGCTGCGGCGCACCGGGCTCATGATCGAGTACGAGACGGCCAACCGCGGTCTCGAGAAGACCAAGGCGCAACGGCGGCCGGCGGTGAGTACCGCGACTTCGCTCAGCTGAGCAGTCGGCTGATGTACATGTGTGGGGCCGTTGGCTCGGTTCCCAGCAGGCGCGCGATTTTTCTGCTGCTTGCGTACTTTTCGGCGTGCGCGACTTCTTTTTGGTGTCAATGCCCGGGACCCAACACATAGGACTGGAATGTGAAGGAATGTAAAATGACCTGCCGGCGCGGCTCTTCATCTGATGCTCAGCGCAAGAGAGATGCCGGACGCTCGAGCGTGCGTGACGACCCGTGCGGTTCTCACGCTGCGCGCGCCTAGTCTAGTTATGAGCTACGTCACGTCCGTTGCCGGAGTCCTCCGAAAATCCCGCATGCATGTGTTGGCGTTTCCCGTGGTCCGCTGAGCACTCCAGTATTTCGTCTCCAGCATTCCGCGCGCGCACATCTTCAACATTGCGCGCGTGCACATTTCAGTATTCTGCGCGCGCGCATCTTCAATATTCCGCGCGCCAAGCTCGGTGTGCATTGCAAAACGACTTCAGATTTTGGAGCGTGTTTTAGTGACGGTGTGGACTGTTGGATTGTGCTTAAAAAAGCGAAAGTTGATGCTTTGATATCTGTTCGTGATTAAAGACGCAGCTAATGTGTTTTTCTTAACACCATTTCGTTTAAAGTATACGAAAAGTGCATCGCGGTTAATTACGCACAGCCTGAGACAGGACGGGCGAATTTTACCACACACGACAATGAAAGATTTTCATTCAGTTATACTCGTGGTCATAAGTCAGTCGGGGTACTTGTGACGCCGTGGAGCAGACATCAGTACAGAAGTGTCGCGCGTTTGCCCTCTGGCCGTCCGCTGGCGAGGGCGGTGGCCTCCCGCAGCTCCGTCTGTGCTCCCCGGCCGGCCGTCTGTGGGGTCGTGCTGTGCGGCCCGGTCGGCCGCCGGCGGTGGTCAGTTCCGCCTGGCTACTCCCCGGTGTCGGCACAATGGTGCCAGGCGCCGGCCGGAACAAACTGGTCGATCGCACCGGAACGGCCCCAGAGCGGCCGGCAGCCGGGCATTATCATTAGTCTTGCTTTGTCGACACGACGGCCCTAAGCAAGGGCCATGTGAGCTAACAATAGGGATACGCCTTACGCTGTTGATGTGGCGCGAATTACACTAAATAGATGGCAGATTGTTTTGTAAGGAACTGTTCACAAGCTCTTTACAAGTGTTGTGTGCTCTCGGACGAAGCAGGGTGGAGCAAGGCGAAGCAAGGTCCGTCCCGGTGGCTCAGTTGGTTAGAGCGCCTGCCTTCCGATCCACCCACCCGTGTTGAGGTGTGTTCGAGGCGCTTTGGGCGCTCGCTATTTGCACTTGACAGATATGGCCTGCAACCGGTGCCAGCGGTCGCGCTAAAGGTCAGTTCACGTTAGAGGGCAGGACGGACCGTATGAGCATTGCGGCACGTTAAACTTTCGCCACTGAATTCTGCCGTCGCCTGGAATTGCGTGATCAGATGGTAGGGGTCGGGGCTCACACAACAAGCACTGCTCAGCGTGAGCTCTGATCCCATAAATCCACCCATTCAAAGAGTTCGGACCAAATACTTGAAAAAGGTGATCTCCGGCACCGGCACACCAGCTGGCGACTTGCACCCTTGTCTCTTTATGATGATGTCACGCATTGCGTTATATTGCGCCGCGACCGCGTGAGGGCGTCACGCCTGATGTGCCTGTTATCGCGACGGCCCAGCGGGCACGCGGCGTACGCGGCGTGGTGCCGACGACGGTGGCGACGCTGTCCGGACGGCAGACGAGGCTCGGCTTGGGCATGTGTTCGCCAGGTGGCAGTGACCGTACCCGGGTTCGGTCGTAGCGTTACTGGCGTTTGGAGGATGAGCGCGGCCGGGTTTTTGGCCGTCAATCATTTAAGGTTGGTGGAAGTTTTTGTCTAGTTGTCTATCGAGTCAGCCCCCAAAAGCCAGCAGCTAACTATTGTAATACCGTTTGAGTTCAGAACAAGGTATTCAGCCATTTGGAGTACAGGTTACAAGTCGCACGCCATGCTTTCGCTCTGGGTGGGACTGGCAGCCATGCTGACTGACCCACCACTTTAAGGGTGTGGGACCCAGTGCGCTTGCGTCCGGTGGGGTGGAAGTGTATGTGCGTGTCGTGCTGATCTCTTGTGATCGGGAGCCGTGCGTACGTGCGTGTGGCGCGACAGATGCGTACATCATCCAATGAGAGACTTTGCTGCGTGAGCTGCGTGCTATGAAGTTCGCTCGGCCTCAGTACACACCATGATACCGCTCTTGGGTCCATCAGTATGTCGGCGGATCTTCCGGGCTCTCTGATAGCAGAGCTGTACCGGCTGTCGGTGCTGATCGTTACATCGATTCTTCGGGCGGGCCCCGTTACACAGCTGAGCTACGCCACCGTCCACCGGCAGTTGACTGCCGGGACGGGTGACTTCGGGTCCGCCGTGTCCCGGGCACCCCGTCAGACGTGATGGCCCTGTCCGCGCGGGCCTCTCCCGATCCCCATGTCCATAGTCGGGGAGGCGGTGGCGCCCGGTCGGCGGCGGGTCCTCACGCGCCAACTGCTCCAGTGTCGCGAGCGAGACAGGGCAGCGCCCGATCGGCGCCGAGTCCTCACGCACCAACTGCTCCAGTGTCGCGAGCGAGACAGGACGGCGCCCGGTCAGCGCCCGGTCAGCGCCGAGTCCTCACGCACCAGCTGCCCCAGTGTCGCGAGCGGGACAGGGCGGCGCTCGGTCAGCGCCGAGTCCTCACGCGCCAGCTGCCCCAGTGTCGCGAGCGGGACAGGACGGCGCCCGGTCAGCGCCCGGTCAGCGCCGAGTCCTCACGCACCAGCTGCCCCAGTGTCGCGAGCGGGACAGGGCGGCGCCCGGTCCATATGGCGCCCCGGACCACGCGCACAGGATCGGCACCGCTCCGTTATGAAACGGACCGACCGGTCGCTGCCGCCGCCGTATCGGCACGGAGGACGATCCCGGCGCATGGGAGCGGCCGGCATGTGACGCCGGCTGGGCCGTGTCGGGCGTGACCGCGATGATCTGGGGGTTTCCTCCGCCGATCGGCCAATTATGCTCCGTATCCACCGTCTCGCGTTCTCAGTTGGCGGGCTTGCCTTCTCACGTTGTTCGACGTCTCTCTGATTTCCCCTGCACGTGCTGTTATTAACCGTGCTTGCTGGTGATGCCTTTCCACTTACCTTCCTTACCCCCCCCCCCCCCCCGTTTCCTCACCGTCTGCTGCACCGGACCGTGTCTGCCGTGATGAGTGGGTCTGCCTCGCGCCCTCCGGCGCCGGCCGGCGCTGGCGGGCCTCTCGCAGCGGCCTCCGGCCGTGGCCAGCGGTTCACCGAGCGCCGGCGGCGGCGGGCTGGGTGACGCCGACAGCCGGCGCTGCGGTGCCGCCAACGGACCCGCACCTGGTCAGCGGTCACCGACGGCCGCTGCGCCGCCGTTCACGATCACGAGTTGGCGCCGCCCGGCCGGCCGACCCGTGCCTCTGTGGCGGCGCGCCGCCGCCGCGGGGGTCAGTGTGCAGGCTGGCGGGAGCGCCGTCGGGACCGCACGCGGACGGCGACAAGAACGCCCGGAAGGCGTTACCGGACCTGGCTTCCGCATCGCGACGGTCGCAGTTGTGTTGAAGCGTGGCCAGTGGTGGGAAAAAGAGGCCGTGGCTTAAAAAGTCGGCGAGCAGATGTCACCCGTGGCTCGTACAATTTGGGAAGCCTCGCAGACCGCGCGGGCCTACTGTAGATCCAGTGGCGCGCAAAATCGGTTGAACAATGCCTCGGCAGCTGGCGGTCGGCGGTGCGTCTGCCGCCCAGACTAATCGGCTCCCGCGGTCCGCGGTACGCGTGGCCGCGTGGCCGGGGTCTGGCTAGCCGTCGGACCGCGGACCACAGACCACCTGCCGGTCTGTCTCCGCCGCAGCCGCCGCCGCTCCGCCGTGGCAGTGAATGTCCGCCACCGCCACCGCCTCTCTGAAGGACCGCGCCAAATTGCCTCTGGAGGACCGTCCTCGCTACGGACCTCACCGTACGGTGCGGACGCCGGAGAATGGGCCGGCGTGACTAGCCCACTGGTGTCGGCGCTGTAGACAGGAGGGCAGGAACCGTCGGTGGTCCCACATCGGCTGAAAGCGGCGAGCTCTGAAGGACCTCGGGCTGAAAGGTCGCCAGGTGTTGCCTCGCATTGTGCGTCCGTAATCGTCGGAATCGTTGATTGATGCCTAGTCACTCTTAGCCAGTGTGTTGTGTCTGCTATTGGTGGGCACCGCCATTGATAAGTCCAACAAAGCAGCAGTTTGGCCCTCTTGTGAAGATGACATGACACCTCGACGCGCTGTTGTCCTGGTGCCATGAGTCAGCGCAGGCGGTTGTCCGGCGCGGTGGTCCGCCGAGCCGTTCCGTTGTAGTCTCAGGCGCCGGGGGTGGGGTAACAGGAACCTCACGTGTGGCTGGAAGGGATCTCACGCGCGGTGGATGAAGGATCCGGCGTGCAGGAATCATAAGGGTTTTGCGTGCGCGGCAGAAAGCCTCACATGCGGGGATAAAAAGATCCACTTGCGAGAGAAGAGATCCTCAGATACAAGAAAAGGAGATGGTCATGTGGGGGAAGGGAGTATGTCCTGAAAAAAATATCGAAAGTATGCCCGGGAAAAGACCTCACTTGTTGAGGAGAACCGCACGTGGCAGGGAAAAGGGGTCTCGCATGCGGTAGATGAGGACCTCACGTGCAGGAGAAGAGAGTCTCATAAGAGGCCCTCATGTGCGGAGGAACAGGACCTCGCTTGTGGGACAGGAAGCCCTCGGCGGACAGGAGGGGGTGATGCACGCTCCCTCCTGTCCGCTGAGGGAGCGGCCCGGGGCAAGAAGCCATTAGCAGTCAGGAGGGGCGATGCACGCTCCCTCCTGCCCACGCCGGGCCGGTGCACGCTCCCGGGCCAGTTTCTCCGGCTGGAGCGCGGCCAATGCAGCGAGACGACCGAGCCATCTCGCTTTCCTCGGAGGC